CTTCTGTTGTTTTGTTTTTAGACTTTGGCATGGGCATAATTGTGACTGAGCTCTCTCTCTGCCAAAATACTGATAATGTCAAAAAGAATTGTGTAAAATCATATTAGTGCAAAAATGAAGCTCTCCAGAACTCCTGAAGCCAGAAAGACCTGGAATGAACTTGCATCCTCCCTTCTATATTGTGTCCCTCCCTGCAAACTGTCCCTACCCCCAGCCCTCAAATACATTTTATTACTTAATGGAAATAATTTTGTGCTATTTTGTTTTTCCAAACTGAAAGAAAGTGGAGGGAAAATGTTTTAGAAAGATGTTGTTAAATATACAAGATGTTTTCCTTAAGTCTGAATCCATTGTGGAAAAAAAAGCACCGTGAACTTTTTACATTTCCACTCCTTTTAAGTAGGCACCAAACTTAGTGTTGTAAAAACAATGTGTATATTATGGGAGAAAAAAAAGCAAAATATGCATTGGAATTGGGTCCAATCCCACTGATAATGAAGGTTTGGGGGAGTTTAGAAAAAAAAAAACAAAAACTAAGAAACGAGGGTGGCCCCTTGCTTCTGTTTTCCTCTTATTTAAAACCAATTAAAAATTCTGTACAGTCTAAAATGAGACAAACAGGATTTATCATAGTTTCATGCTATCATAGTTTCATGCTATTATATTACCCCCTGAAGGGAAAGGAAATATTTGGAGTTGTACCTAAAAATTCTATCCCTGAAAGATTTTTAGAAAACCAGTTTTGTATGTTTCAGGCTTTCAAAGGAAAACAGAACTTTGGAGTTTTCAAGGCTGTTTTAAAACAACTGGCAAGTTACCAACTCTAGATATCAGTACAAATCTGAGGCAGGAAGTACTAAGGAAATTCTAAACTCATTCCCTCCCTCTGCAAGATTTTCTACATTTTCAAGTGTAAGGACTGTGTTACAGAGTTGTTTTGCTTTTGAAGGATCTGTACATTCACATCGTTAAGAATATCCTCTGCCCTGTGGAGGCCTCTCTTCCTTCACCTACCCCTCTCTCCTTGTGTTTTCAAGTGTTTGCTCATTCCATGGCACAATCAGTTGTGCTACAGCTAGACTTTTAGAGACGGGTGGCTGCAGATGGTTGCATATTCAGCCTGAAATCAATTGCAGTTGATTAATTACTCCTTACACCTGGTCCCTTCTTCATACCAGGCTTAGAACACAATCTGAGTACCACCAGCCAAGGAAATTCTGTTCGGGTCCACTAGTCTGAACTTCCCCTTTCTTCAATACCTTCTGCAGAACCAGATGGCCAGAAAAGGAAATGCAGTAAATTCATGTAAGAGCAACATCATTAGAAACTGTACACTGGATTGGTAGAAACGTAGTGAACTTCTGCGGGTGTGGAAAAGGAAGAAAGAAGAAACTTGCTGTGTGTGCTCAGGCGACTTTTTAAGTTTTATGAAGGTGACTAAAGTTTTCCACATATATCTGAGAGAACTATCTATTTCTCAGCTGAAAAATATCAATTCACCAGGCTGTAACCAGGTTTGCCTCTTTTTAATTTACCCAGTTCAACTTTCTTTTCAAGTATCCTCCCCACAATTACATCAAAAATTCAGAATGAAATTCACCTGGGAACTCATAATTCAACAGCAACAGGTTGGTTTTTTGGACTGGGTGATGAAATACTTGAAGGATGTTAGATTACAACTAGTCAAACATTTTGTATTTTGCCATTAAGCTAATGAACTATTTTTTGAGCCCTCTTTCTCTAAAACTTACAGATTATTCTGGGTGGTCCCTTCAAACAGCAAATTTGCCTTGATAAACTATTTTTTTTATCCAGCTCTTTCTTATTTAAATATTACAACATGTCAATAAGATTTCTCCATTATTCGTTAAGTAATGCTCCTCTTTGAAATTCCTTCTTTTGGTAGAAAAGAATTCATCGAAAAGGAAATTGACAAATGACAATTTTTAAGATGTGAGCTGTGAAAGAGCATAGGATGATAACACGCCATACCTTATAGCTGCAAGTCAACCACTGGGTTTTCATCTTAACTTACATGTACATTTTCCTAATATAAAACATTTGAAAAATTATTTGAAGGGATGGAGCATCAATCATATATTTTTAAAGAAGCCAAGTTGAGAGACTGGTTCCAATGCAACGGAAAATAATAGGAGCGAAGCAGGCATGCAGGTGTCACAAGTTCTCCTCAAACTTTACTGTGCATTTCAGGGAACTGAAACATCATTTATTTCTTAAATCTCATTTTCATTTTATCGTTAAAAAATAGCAGATGTATTTAGCATTAGACAAGCAGAAAAAGAGAGTTCAGCATTTGTGCATTTTCTGAAAGAATACACTAATAAACATTTCAATCATTTAAAATTTAAAATCATTTAAAAACAGCCCTGACAGACTCAAGGGCTGTTTTCCCCAGAAAAACTAGTGACAGAAAACAGCCCTTGAGTACTGTCAGGAAAAAAACCTACCTCAGTAAAAGAAAAATTGAAGTTATGACATCAGCAGAATGTGATAGAATTCTATTTTTTATCAAACATAAGTATTCTGAACATATCAGCATCATATTGAAGAGCTATGATTTTAAAATTGAATTATAACTACAAGCCAAGGCTACAAAGAATGGATTTTATCAATTCCACCCAGGCTTACCAAATAAATATAAGCAGCATGTACTTTATTTAAAATTATTATGAATTATATTTTGAGGTATACATGTAGAAGGAACAAAAAGTGACGTGGAAATAACCTAGTTGTTTTCCTGTTATACTGAAACATGATGGTGCTTCATTGTATACTATTAACCCTGTCAGAAAGTCCCCAGTACCCACATTATAAAATAGGATTGCACATTGACTCTTCATCTCAATTCCTCTTTATGTAAGTTTCAAAACAGGGCACGTCTTCACATCTTCAGCTTCCAGGAATGCTATTAATGTCTGTCATTTCAGAGCCACCGTAACAACACAGGACAACTTCAAAGCATTGTCGACATTTTACAACATAATAATCAATAAGAACTACCATGATAGGCAAAGTAGCTGATCTTACATTCCCTACTACCCTGATCTGATTATCTAAATATCAACATAGGACGCCTAATGGATCTAACTTCTTTAAAAATGTTCCAGAAGTTGATGGCGTTGGCTAGCTTGAGAGTAACAAGATCCAGATGCTGCCTGTCTATACAACACTAAACTACATAGAACTCCAAAACAGATATCTAAAATCTCCCTCGGTGTTTTTCAGGCTCTTCTCTCTTCCCTCATCATTCCACTCTCCCTCTCACACACACACATACTTTCTACTAGTATACCTCATCCTGCAGCCCGCGTCTGAATGCATATCATTCACTATTTCCTGTTAGCAATAGGCTAAAATAAATCTCAAACAGAAAAACAATTGTTATTCATTTCCATCTAAAGTTTCTTTTCTGAATATACACCATAGTAGAAAACAAGGACCCAAAACAAAGTGTAATTTTCGAAACACTTGGAAAAATTTAGCCAAATGAGTAAAAGGGATGGAATGTCTGATATTTTTCATGCAACCTTTGAGTTTATTGTTTTTGTTTCATTGAGGGACGAGAAATGACTGTACATTTTCCCCTTTTAACTTGTCCTTGCTCTGCCATTTCCTTGAGGAATGTCAGGCAGCATTCTATACCTAATACCCCCAAAGAGTTAAAACTCAAGGCGTGGAGCAGGAGGGCTAGTCTATTTAAGCATCAGCAGCACAAACTAAATGCTCACAAAGGCAAATAGCAGTGAGTCGACCTTGGAGGGGCAGGGTGGATTATAAAGCAGTTGAAAAAGAAAAAAATAACAAAGCAACAATCTTTGCTACAATACTGAAAGTCTGCTTGCCAGTCTGGTTTACAAATAGGCTTTGTTTGATGAGACAAAATAAATAACTACAGCATGAATTACCAAACCCTCATCACATCACCGAGTCCTGGTGACAGCACAGATCACTCAGGCACGCCTTATTCACTCTCAGCATATTTATTTATTAAGAAGATGGTGGAGCCTGGCCAATGCAATACGAAATAATGTCACCCATAGGCTCAAGGTGGTCACTCTACTAACACGTTTTCCCCCTAATCAAGTCCAATTTAATTGACAAATTGGAGGAGTGATTTCACACCTGAGAGTCTTTCATGTCTTAACGGCAGGATAAAGTTCAGGGTAGGTACTGCCCACTGCTTCCTTACTTGGGCTTGCCTCTGGGCCCCTAATGGTCATTTGAGCACACACACACATAAAGCCTAAAGTATTTAACCAATTAGAGTCCAATTATTATCAGTTATATTTCATTTCTTTTCAAGACTCAGGCCTCCTAATGGCAGCTACACAGAAGAACAGAGCTTCTAAAAGTTAAAAAAAACATCTATTGTAAAGCTCCAAATGCAGTCTATAGAGTGCTGATCACCCTCAATATAAAATAAAATATACAAGGCAAATTAAAAATAAAAATACACAAACAAACTCTCAGAGACTCTGGTAGGTGCCCTACACCTTCCCATACCCTTCTTTCATCCTATACTCTGCGATTAAAAGTTTGAGTCACCCCCACCCTGGCACATCCTATCCAGTGGGAAAAACCCTTTTAGAGCCACAAACAAAGAACAGTTCACTAGAAAAGCCCCTGAAATTGTATTCTTGTGCCTGATCATCACTATTGTGATCTGCTTTGTTAAAACCGTGCCCATCTGCAAAAGACTCTCCTCATATCAGGACCATTTATGCTGCCAAATAACAACAAAGGAACCGAACTCAACTGAAACTATTATCTCTCCTTGAAGAGAAAGCTACAATTCCGGGTTTGCTGCTTTCCTACGTCTTCGTCTGCCTCATTAACTCCATTGGTATGCTACTAATTTCAAAGAAGCAGGAAGAGGTGATGGGGGTGGGGGTTAAATCATAATTCACACGGCTGTCTGCTTCCCATCCCAAGTGCAGAAGGATACCACGCTGATTGCGCGAACGTGGGTCAAGCCATACCTTGGTTTGGAGATAATGAGGATAGTAGTAAGTGTACTGGGGGTACATTTGTGGCTGATCCAGGCGTTTGCCCATGTAGCTGGAATCTTTATCTCCGAGGCAGGGAACTGGATGACAGGGTATAGTGCCCCAGGCCGAGCTTCCTCTTAAACCACTATTCCTGACAGTCCCGGTGACTGATGAGGCTTCAGAGACTCCACCACTCGCTAGTTCCAACACAGCAAGAATTTTTTTAAAAAACAAAACAAAACAAAAAACACACACACCAAAGCAAAAAGAAAAAAAAAAGCGTGAGGAGTGAGATCTGTAGAAAAAAACACCCACACACAGCCTTCCCAGATCTTGCCTGGCTTCCCCCAGCCGCTGGGGTCCACTTGGGATGAGGCAGTTTGTTCTCTAACCAGGCTGTCTGTAGTGATGTCAATTGCCAGCGTTTGTAAAGGGGGAAAAAAATCAAAGTCCTTTTAGCACAACTCCGAATCCTTGCGGATCAGCTTCCTGTCTCCTGGTTGTCTCTTTCCCCACCTTAAAGAAAAAGAAAGAAAAAAAAAAAGACAGAGAAAGAAAGAAAAAGAAATAAAGGGGGGGAAAAAAAGAAAGAAAAAGAAAGGGGAAAAAGAAAAAAAAAAAAAAAACCTTGCACAGCTTAGTTGCTGCTGTCTCCCTCCCAGAGTGACATGGTGTTCGGGGCTTGTCCTGTCCTTTCATTCACTTCCCCTCCTTCCAGCCGGTGGGTGGAACCGAGAGAGCCTCTCCAGGGAGCAGCGTACGCAGTCCAGAAGGCTGCAGTATTTCCTCCAAGAAAAAAAAAAAAGGCTGCTTCAACCCCTGCTGCAAACAAAGTTCCGATTCCCTCTGCTGGCTATCTCGAATAGCAAGCGATTTTTGCAGCAACGCTGCTGCCGCTGGAACTGAACCTGAGGAACTCAAATGCGGGCGGTGGAATATTTCTTATCCCTCCTTCCATCTACCCCACACAAGAGCTGCTTTTTGTTCTTCTTTTCGCCAAGTTCCAAGGTAAGCCACGCCGCTAAACAAAACACAGAAGAGAGGGAAGAGAGGACGAAAGAAGGAAGGAGGAGAAAGGAAAAGAAATGAAGGCAGGGGAACTATCCTCGCTGGTTAACGGGGGAAAAAGTAAGTCCCGGATGCTTTCGAAATCTGTTAACACACTAGAGCCAGATGAATCCAATAGCTGATTGAGAAACTAACCTTTTACCACCTGGAAGACCTGGAGGATACTAAGTATTGAAGAAATTTTAGGGTCTACTTCAGGACTACCATAGCATGCTACATGTCATCAGATTGGACTGATCAACTAAATATATCAAAAATAGTAACTCTTTTTATTACATCCATTTTGTAAAAATCAAAGGAGGTAATCCCTTAGGTTTATCAGATTTTTACAAATAAAATCTGTTTCTCCCATTGTCTCTGATTATTTTGATGCATGATGCTTTAAACACTTTAAAGCATCTAAAAAAAAAAGGACAAAAATCATAATTACTTGGCAGAGTTTTTTCCCACCAATGATAATATTCTGTCATGTCTATCAGCTGCTACATTATAATACAAATTGTTTCAGAGAAAATATATTTCCTTAAAGGGTCCCTTTTCAAGGCGGGCGAAGCTAAAATTAGACGTGCCAGCTGTGTTTTGCTGTGAGTGCTCACGCATGCCCAAAGCGTGGGCAGACCAGGACTGAGCTCTTTTCTACTTTGTCAAGTCGGCTCTGTTCTCCCGAGCCCGGAGTTGCCTATTTAGATAAAAGGTCCCTGGTACAAATCCAGCTTCCTAGTCAAGGAGAACAGAGAATTTGGGATCAATGGACACATGGTGTCCATCCACATGCAAGCCACACCGCCCCTGAAGCAACTGGCTTCCGCTGAGGGGAACTGGTTTCTGGAAGCTGTGTGAGTGCATACGTGTTCCCTGGATAAAAGTAAGGATGGCAGGTAAACAGTTTTATGTTTTACTTTTGGCAAGAATAACAATCAGAAGGAGACAAGGAAGGATGGAGGGCAGGAGTTAGGAGAGTTAGGAGACCCTGAACATTAAATCAACCCCACCTATCTCTTAAATGTGTTATTTGACGCCTCAGTTGTCCCATCTGTAAAATGGAAATACTGCCAACTCTCCTGGCTGAAGGCAGTACATTGAATCCGAAACTAAAAATGACACTGCGTTAAAAATCCTTCTCTGGCATCATATTTCTCAGACAATAAAGTCCTGAATCTTTCGAATAGGTTTCAGGACACTTGAGCTGTCTGACCCTGGCTGTCTACTCTCCTCTCAGACCTTCATCTCTGCCCCTCACATCCCAAACCCGAGTCACACTGAGCTACATTCAGGACAGAACATGCTCTCAGAGCCTTCTGTCATTCCCTCTTCCTGGAGTGCTCCCTCAACTCCATCTCCCCCTCTCTTACCCTTTAGCCTGTCCTTCAGGTCTCAGTACGGATATCACCTCCTCAAAGTAGCTTTCTCTAAACCCTACCTTCTCTGCTGCACTTCCTATTTGCCCTAACCGAAGGCTTATTCTACATGCATCTGCCTGCTTATTGTTTGTTTCTTCCATGATGTTCTAAACTCTAGGAGAGCAGGAGGTCACATCGTTCTCATTTGCCTTTACATATCCAAAAACTTGCCTAGAGTTGAGCACAAAATGGGTGTTCAGTAAATGTTTGGAGAATAAAATGTGAAACATAATTAAAATTTTCAACCTGACTTAGATCCCTCTTTCAGTACATTTCACTCCTTGTCACAGGTCAAGAACTGACCTGGGTGCAGGATATAGAGGCACATGAATCAGAATAAGGTCTTTCTTTCATTGAGTTTATATTAGGTGGGGGGAGGGGTTGGGGGGAACAAACAATGGGATAAACAAGTAAATACGCAGTACAATGTCAGGAAATATATATCGCTGTAAGGAAATGTGAAACAGAGTAAATAGAAACAAAGTCACAGAGATTTCACTTTAAACAAGATAGGAAAATGCTCTCCAAGGAAGAGCTTGGGAAAATGCTTTCCTAAAACCAAGGCAAGGGTGAGAGCCATTCTCAAGGTATTGTGCACCGTGAGAATACGTAGTGTTAATGCCTTGGAACCCATCCAGACTGCCTTGGGTTCCAACCCTGCCTCTTCTGCTTTCATCTCCTCTAGTTTCTTCAACCATCAAATATCACTATTCACTTCATACAGTAATTGCGAGAAGCAACCCAGATAAACACATGAAGCATTTAAACACCTTGTAACATGTTGGATCTGCTTAACAAATGCCAGCCTGCATTTGGGGGAAACACATTGCAGTCACAGGGACAGTGACTACAGAAAAGCCTGCAGTGGGAGGGTGTCTTTGGAATGTGCAAGATATGGTACAGAGGCTGAAATAAGCAAGTGAGGAGTAAAGACCATAAAATGGGGCTGGGGAGGTACCCTTGGGCCAGATCATATAAACCTTAGTAAAGAATTGATATGGAAAGCTAAATAAATAATAATTAACAGTACAGCAAAGACTCTACAAATATTCGGATTCTACGTCCAGTCATCTTCGACTATAGAATGCTGTCATTTAAACAACCTATTTATGTCACTCCAAATTCAGACTTGTAAGACCAAAAGCCAGGATTGCTTTGGCCAATTCTACCATCATGGACGAGATATATACGTTTTCTTTTATTAATAAATGGCTTAAATACTCCTTAAGGGGAAAAGAATACTGTCTTATTTACAAATGAAAAGCCAAATAACTCCTCAGCCAAAACTGATACAGCCCATTATCTGTAAAAGTTCCATTCCCAGCATGCATTGATGCTATCAGCAATTTCTACACAAATCTATTACTTTTTAAAATGCTATTTGATTTCATTGGATTATTGTAATGTTTTGGGCATAAATTGTCATCGGCTTAAACATCTTCATTGTACCTTTAAAGCTTTTCTTAAGTAATGCAAAGTAGGTTTACCACTTGTGGGAATTGTAAAACCTGTGTTTTTATTTTTTATTTTGTATTTTCTTCCCTCAGAGACACCAGTAGCCATGGCAATTCACGAGGCAAGATACTCAAATCAGAAATAGTTTTTATATCATTTCTGCTCTGTTGGAGCAGTAGCGTTTTCCATTTAAGTGATCAAGTTAAGGTAGGAGGTAACTGGTTTAAGGCATTCTCTAAATCAGAAGACAGCTGTGTCCTATTTGCCAACTAAACAACAAATTTCAAAGAAATTCAAGGACAGCAGACTGCATCAAAGGGCATAGACTCTCAGTGGTTCACATGATGCAAAGGCTAGACAGAAGAGGCACTGATTATTTATTTATTTTTTAGATGGAGTCTTGCTCTATTGCCAAGGCTGGAGGGCAGTGGTGCGACATTGGCTCACTATGACCTCTGCCTCCCAGGTCCAAGCATTTCCCCTGCCCCAGTCTCCTGAGTGTCTGGCATTACAGGCGCCCACCACCACGTCTGGCTAATTTTTGTATTTTTAGTTCAGAAGGGGTTTTGCCATATTGGCCAGGCTGATCTCGAACTCCTGACCTCAGGTGATCCACCCGTCTCCACCTCCCAAAGTGCTGGGATTACAGGCGTGAGCCACCAGGCTGGGCTGAGGCACTGATTTAGGACAAGTTTTTGACTAAGAGGACTGAGATGATGACTTAAACCTGCCATTGGGAAGTAGGGAAGCAATGGCACTGAAATGCTGAAATGAAAGTCAACTGGGTAGACATGACAAGTCTCTTCTAGTTTGCTCTTGACCTATCCACTTAGAGAATAACTGAGTCCTTTCTTTGGATATTTGTGTTTTAAATCATAAAGATTTAGTCAAGGCCGGGTGCCGTGGCTCACATCTGTAATCCTAACACTTTGGGAGCCCAAGGTGGGTGGATCCCCTGAGGTCAGAAGTTCAAGATTAGTCTGACAAACATGGTGAAACCCTGTCTCTACTAAAAATACAAAAATTAGCCAAATGTGGTGGTGTGTGCCTGTAATCCCAGCTGCTTGGGAGGCTGAAGCAGGAGAATCACTTGAACCCAGGAGGGTGAGGTTGCAGTGAGCTAAGATGGCACCATTGCACTCCAGCTAGGATGACAATAGGGAAACTCCATCACAAAAAAAAAAAAAAAAAAAAAAAAAAGATTTAGTCAAAGCAATATAAAAGCAAAAGAAAAGAAGTGTAAGTAAAAACCAAAATTCTATTACCCTAAAAAGTATATACACATACTCTTCTATCTTCAAGAAGGACGTGCGTGACATTGAAAGAATATTTTTTTAAATCTTGGCATTTCATGCCCACTTTATTTAAATGTATGAAATCCCTCTCCAACACAGCAGTTGTCAAAGGAATGTTGAACATAAAAGTTATTTAAAAAAAAAAAAGACAAAATGGTAGATTCCAAATTCCAACATTAAGGTACTGTTACAACTTTTCTTTTCCTCTGCAGAATACTTAACGGGTGGTTTAGGAAAACACCTAAGACAAATTAGGAGAGACAATATAGTGATTCAAGCACGTGTGGTCCAAATTTAAACTATAATTGAATATAAAAATATTCCTGTTAAGATGATTAAAACTGGCCTTGAAAGACAATATCAAACCTCAGGACAAAATTATGCCATAGTATAGTTTGAGACATTTAATCGGGTTTCTACCAATTCTTTTCTAAGCAAGAAGACTTTAAAACAAGGGAGAGTTGTTAACTTCAACAGAGTTTTACCAAATACTTACTATGCACCTAAATAATTGAAGGTAACAATATAAATATTATTGGCCCTGTCCTCAAATGGATTTAACAACTCTATATTTCTAAACACCAGCCATTCATGTACAATCTTTATGTTTTCTCTCATATCTGAGTACCAATTTGTAAGATTAGTTAAGTAGTTTTCTTTAAATCAACTTAATTTTTTTCTGAAATACATACTTTATTAGAAAGCAAAAATATACATGAAGGCTCATGTCTATTTTCCTTCTATTATCTTTGCAAAAATGACACATCCTATATCCTCTCACTCTATTTCCATTTTTCATGACATCTGTGGCAGGCACACCCAGTTCTCTTTTGCCACTGGGACCAACTACCAAGATTCACACTTTCTCACTCCACTGAAAGTAGGCATGGCCATGTGACTTCCAAAGGCCAATAAAACATGAAGCAGCAAGCAACACATGTAAAAGCTTTTAGCTGCTGCTGTTTGATTCTTCTCTAGTGGAAGCACGTGCTGACATGAAGGAGCCACAAGAAGGGAGCATCTTGGAAAGCTGAGGGCGGCTAATTTGGATAGCTGCCTGGACTAGCCACGGCAGTCTTCTCATAAGCAAGAAATAAACCTTTGTTACAGTGCACTAGTAAAATTTGGTGATTGTTCCCACAGATTATCCTAGGCTACCTGTTTAACACAGCATTACTTACAGTTTGTTATGCATTTTTGGTTTTCTTACTTGGGTATTCTTCCCATTAATATCTAACCTCCACAGGACAACACATTTATTTAATACATTATATTCTGACACACAGAACCGTCCTTGGGATTTAATACACATTTAGTAAATATTTCTTAAATAAATAAATGGAGTAGTTACCCCTTATTCACAGGGGATATGTTCCAAGACTCCTGAAATCTTGGATAGTACCAAATCCTATATATAATGTTTTTTCCTATATATACATATGTATGACAGATTTATTTATAAACTAGGCACAATATGAGAATAACTACAATAATAATACAAATGGCAATTATAACAACACACTGTAATAAAAGTTATATGATTGTGGTCTGTCTCTCGGTCTCTCAGAATATCATACCTGTACCACTGGTAACTGAAAGCTGAAGCCATGGAAACAAAGCTGTGAAGGAGATGGTGGCGGGGGGGAGGCAGGAAACTACTATAAATGAAACTACTGTAAATGGTTTCTCTAAAATCATCTCATTTATGTATTAGCGGTTAACGGACACTATTTTGTGAAAAAATAAGAGGATAAATGAGGCTTATACATGTTAAGTTTTCTGAGAGGACAACTGCTAAAGTACTAGGGATTCTGAAAAGGGAAAGGTTTTTGTACACTGACTGTTGGAAATGGGTACTGGAGTTGATGAGCCAAAAAAAGGGAAAAAGTTAGAGTGTCATGAACTGAATGCTTGTATCCTCCCCAAACTCCTGTGTGGAAATTCTAACGCTCAGTGTGGTGGTATTAGGAGGCGGGAGCCTGGGGAGATAACTTGGTCAGTAGAGCAGAGGCTTCAGGAATGGGATTAGTGTCTTTATAAGAGAAGACATTGAAGAGATGATCTTTCTTTCCTTTCTGTCGTGGGAGAATACAATGAGAAGACGTGCCATCTGCAAACCCAGAAGTAAGCCCTCATCAGACACCAGGTCTGCTGCCACCATGATGTTGGACTGCTCAGCCTCTAGAACTGTGAGAAATAAATATTTGTTGCTTAAGCCACTCAGTCTATGATAATTTGTTATAGCAGCCTGAACTGATTGAAGCAAGCAAACAAATATATATAGAGAGAGACTGTATATATACTATACTCCTCACATTTAATCCTCTGTGAGGTAGGTATCATCACCCCCTCTTACAAATGAGGAAACTGAGGACCACACATGCCCAAGGGCACACAGCCAACAGGACAGGTCTACCATTCCAACGCTTGGTTTCTTACCCCAAACATGCGCCACCCAGGGTGGCCAGAATTCCTTTCTAGTAGCAAAAAGACAGCTGCCTCAGACACAAACACACAGAAAAGTAGTCACTCAGTAAGTATCTCTCAGTCCTGGGTTTCTGGTTCAAGAGCATTTGAGGGCCAAGCTGTGGTGGCTCATGCCTGTAATCCCAGCACTTTGAGAGGCCAAACTGGGGGATCACCGGAAGTCAGGAGTTCAAGACCAGCCAGACCAACATGGTGAAACCTTGACTCTACTAAAAATCCAAAAAATAGTCAGACATGTTTGGGTGCCTATAATCCCAGCTGTCCAGGAGGCTGAGGCAGGAGAATCTGGGAGGCAGAGGATGCAGTGAGCTGTGATCACACCACTGCACTCCAGCCTGGGTGACAAGAGCAAAACCCTGTCTCAAAAGAAAAAAAAAAGCATATGGGGGATACTTCTTACATTTCCAGAGGAAACAGAAGAGGATAGCAGCAGGGTGAGTGTGCTGTGGTCAGCGCAGCCCTGGGGAGAGGTGTATGTATATGTATGTATATATAGCCTATTACATAGTATATACTACTAGAAATATAAATGTTTCTTCAATGAATACTCACAAGTACCTGGGAAGTAGATACAATTTTTTGCACTTTACAACAGAGAAAATTGAGAGGAAGAAAATATAACTACCCTTTCCAAGTCTGCCCAGTTACAACATGCTAGAGGAATATTCCTGACATGTCTGTATAGGGCCCAGATATAGGTTTAGTCCTCAGCATAATCTGATGACAATCTTAAATGCTTAGTTGAAAATTGGACGAGACAACCTTTGTGTTTAAAATGGAAAATATAGTATACGTAAAAGTCCTAAGGAAATCAATCATGTCTGCATGGAGACAGACAGAAAACTGGAAAGAAAGAGCATGGCCTTTTATCACATAGTATAAACTGTGTTTGGATGGCAAATGTGATGGTTAATTGCATGTGTCAACCTGGCGTGGCCATGGTGCTAGCTGTATGGTCATGCACTAGTCTAAGTGTTGCTGTCAGGTATTTTTTAAACGTGATTAACATTTCAATTAGGACACTTTGAGTAAAGCAGATTACCCTTCCTAATGTAGGTAGGCCTCATCAGTCAGTCAAAGGCCTTAAGAATAAAGACTGAGATCTTTAGAGAATGAAGGAATTCTGCTCCTAGATTGCCTTTTAACTCAAGACTGTCTACGAACTCTTCCCTAGGTCTCCAGCCTGCTGGCTCACCCCGAGGGTTATTGTGGGGACCCTCCAGTTTCCACAATGAACCAGTTCCTTGAAATCTCTCATATACATATGTATAATATATTCATCTATATATTTACATATATTATATATATGAAATATGGTTCAACTTTTTTGGAAAATCCTAATATAATGAAAGATAAATAAGGCAGTTATAAAGGTCAGTGGCACTCTTACACCTTCCTAATAAATGTCTATAATGTTTCTAATATAATTTCAACAAAATGTATAGTCTTAAAGATTATTTTCCAGTCATTTCAGTTGTAAGAATCCAAAATAGATCATTATTGTTAGCATTTTAAGTATAAGTAATTGGAGTAACCTGATGTCTAGCCCTAGCAGGTTGGTTGAATAAATCACCAATGAATACATTATGATTCAACCATTAAAATGATGCTGAGAAAACATTTATCAATATGAAAATGTTTAGATTGAATAATGGAAAAAATCAGAATACAGTATTATTCTGTATTATATATGCAGTTTTCCAACTATGAAATATAAAGAGAATGAAAGAACAATACCAAAATAACCACAGTGAAATTTGTCCTCTGTAGTTAGGTATTTTGTAATTGTACTTTACTTTTTGATAAATTTTGGCATTTTCCAATATATCTTAAAATAAACATGTTATTTCATTATTTAAAATAAACATTATTTTAAAAGAAATTTTAGGATAAGTGTATTCCAAAGTAGGAATTTTTGTTATTACCAGAGAGGAAAGTTTTTAAAAGCCCAGAGGTGGCAACAGAAAAATAAATTACATGTGTATGTTAGTCATTTCCTCTCTATCTGAAGCAGACATCTATTTAAGAAAAGTCTGTCTTTCTTTAAAATCTGGGAGCATTACTCCTACATCAAAATGATGTTAAAATTCTTATTTAAGACAAATATCACCTAACGAAATAATGATAGCTACCAATGAATGGCAAAGGGAAAGGTTTAAACCTGCATAAATATGCAATATTTTCATTTTTAACATTTTACTTGATATAGTTTGGATATCTGTCCCTACCAAAATCTCATGTTGAATTGTAATCCCCAGTGGGGCATGGTGGTAGGTATTTGAATCATTGGGGCTCCTCCCTGGTGGCTTGGTGATAGTGAGTTCTCACAAGATCTGGTCATTTAAAAGGGTGTGGCATCTCTCACCCCCGACTTCTGATTCTGCTT